GGAACTCTGTGATTACAGCATCACCAATTTTGTTTCCATTAAATCCTCTATGCAATAGATTATTTCTTGGACACACTTTTTTTATTTAATTAATATGCTTCTTGGAAAATAGAAACTTGGGCATTAATGAGAACAGATACTCATAAGTAAAGAAGTACAATACAGGGTTCCAAAAAACCGTCATTCCCAAATCTTTATTGTTCCTAGTACTTCAATTTGGTTTATTTATAATCTATATATGTATAAATTGAACATCATCCACCAGAAGTATCAACAATTATGAGTTATTCAACTCATAAAATATGCTATATTAAGCAAAATCTCTAAAAGCCTACAATTAATTTAGTCGATAAACACGATACTTTTTTCATCAACTAACTGATTATTTCCCAATGGTATTAAAATACACATTTTATTTACAGCTACACCAATGCAATATTAGTTAGTAAATCTGAACGGTCTAGTGTGTATAAAACAATAATAAAAGGCTAATCCGTACATTTCCTAGCTGTCACAATCAAAAATTTTCCCTGAAAATGTCTCGGTCGGAGGGGCCGGAGGCTTATCGGACGACGAGATTTAGTGCTAGGTTAGAGTTTTACTGGCCTTACTCTTCTTTGTTTTGAAAAAGGCGTTTACTGCATTGAGGATGATTTAATATCGATTTTTTTTTTTTGTTTTGTGACTTTTATTTTAGGAAAACATTTGAAAAACAATTTTGAAGAGATTTGGGTCTGGAAACTTTCTATCTTTTCTGGTTTTTCTATATAAGGTATTAATTTTTGACAAATTTTATGTCAATTCTCAGTAACTGACGTATAGAGTTCTATCTCGTCAAAAATAGCATCGATAGTCATTCCTAAGCCGCCTTTGACGCCGTTTTTTCTCGATCATACGGTATTTAAATGTTTTTGAGATCCAGATGACCAGCTGCTGTCCTGTCACTATAGGTGTCGACTTGGCAAACTTCTCCCTTCAAGTCAAATTCAGTTTACATTCTGTATTAAATATAGCCTCATAAACAAACATCAACTTTATTGGTTAATTAACAGGTATTGAATGAATTAATCTACTTAAATATTAATAGAGAAATGGAACGTTACTTAAAATCTGCGTTTTGGTTTGCATTGCGTTTTAGGTTCCCTGATTATAAACTCTAACAACAAACCAACAGGAAAAAATTGACCAGCATCTTAGGAAAAAAAATATGCAAAATAATTCCACTGGACATCTGGTTCTGGAAAAAATTAATAAATTTTATTTCATATTTATATTTAAATAAGGTAGAGTATCACTCATAGAAAAGGAAGACAAATAGAAGAGGCTTCATTATTGACGGACTAGAAGTAGAATCACGAAAATTTTCTAAATGAAGTTTTCCTATACTGAAGTAAGATACATTTGTAAAGGTACAAGCATACGTGACAATTACTAAAAATAAGAATAGAGTAAATAAAAGGAATGAGGGTAGAGGTACCCCTGTTAATTTTTGCCCAAAAAAGCTTCGTTAGGTTAGGTTAGATCGTTAACTTAGGATTATCTTAAACACAGAATTGAATCTAATCAAGGAAAGAATGGGGAAAAGAATAGTTGGATTTACTGAATTCAAGAAATTAGAACTATATTTACCTACTAATGGTAAATGGGGTGAGACAGGGTTGCGGTCTTGTCGCTATTTCTTTTTAATATTCTCTTATATGATATTCTAGAGGGAACAATGTACAAAAATCATTGTGGAATAAGGTGAACTCCCTTTAGCGTGTTAGAAGATCTCAGTTATGCAGATGACATATATGTCTCCTTGTTCATAGTCACGCGGATATGGCATCAAAACCATTTGACTTATCAAATGAAGTTCTTAAGAAGAATTGCAGGTCTTAAGATCAATATTAAAAAAAAAACTAAATCGATAGAGTTTGTTCCAACAATGTCGCTCCGTTTGTCATTGGGACAACAATTATACAGGAGGTAAATGATTTTACTTAGTAATGTAATCTCAACTAACGGAACAAGATATCATAAACAGAATAAACAAGGCCAGAATAATATTTGCAATGCTCAACAATATTTGGAGATCTAGACATTACTCTCAACTTAACAAACTTAAAATTTTCATTTGAAATATCAAGTTGTCTGCGAAAAACTGTAGGAATATTCTGGCCAAGCACTATCAAAATTGAGGATTTATTGAGTTTAACCAACCAGAAGCAAGTGTATAATGAGACCAAACTGAGAAAATGGAGGTGGATTGGTCACAAGTTAAGGCGCAGCGTCAACAACACCGCTGGCAAAGCTATTAGGTGGGACCCACAAGGCAGTAAAGAACTGTTTGTAAAAGAACAGACACACATGGCAAAGAACAATCAAAAAGGAGATCGACCATGGCGAGATGTCAAATCAATTGCAAACAATCGAACCCGCTGGAGAGCATTTATTGAAGCCCTATGCTTCACGTAGGAACAACAAACAAAACAAATGAATGTGAATTACCATCTAACCAGACTAGAAGGTATTCCTTCAAATCACAATGTAACCCGGGCCCCTCAGGCCCAGTCCGACCCTGCCCCTTGCATGCTCGTACCACCGGCATTACTGAATTTTAATAACCGCATTTTTTTCTTTAATCGATCCAAATTCTTCCTTTTTTCTTCATTAGGATCTATAAATTACCTATCGACCAGCTGAAGCGCTTAAGCGCAACCGTAAAAATTATTTTTCTAAAGTTATAATTGTTCTAACACTCATAAGGGCGCATAACTGAATTACAATCACCCAGATTATTAAACAACGGGGAAGGAAAAAATATTCTTGGCGAATATGGAGGTGCTGAATATTAAATTATTAGCGAGCTCTATGGGGTGAGAGACGCTTATGAATAAAGTTGGTTTCGATGGGTGTTCGAAAATAGAAAAAAGGGCTGTTCTACGGTACTTATGCTAATACCAAGACGAAGTAGCGGTTAGATGCGGGCATTAGAAACGTGTAAATGGTGCTTTTTTCTAGTAGTTGGTTAATTTCTTGAAATAAACACGCGTGTGTTTTCGAATAATGGTCTAGTTCTAATCACCCGTAACTGTCCAGGTGGTGGTTGTCTCTACATCGAATTTTATGTGGTCTTTACTGTATAAAGTTCATAAAGATGTTGTAGACCAGTGTATAGAATTAGAATAAAACTGGTTTCAAGGAAATAAAGTTTTATGGTCTATTTTATTAAGTTTAAGTTAATTAAGGCTATTTTTAAGTTTTGTTGTCGTACTATTTCAGTCTCGTTCAGTCAACATCTGTGACGGCTATTCAAATACAGGGTGAGCTTTAAACAAATGCAAGGTGAGTCATAAAAGAAACATAATATTTTCTCTTTGCCGTTTTTCAAGTCGAAAATAACCGAGTCATTTTATTTTGAAAATATATTTTTTGCTTAAATTTTTAAAACCACCGGATCTTTTTTGGGTTTTCTTTTTTGTAAATTGAATCTACTACCTATGTTGCCATATTATCAAGAAATTATGTTTTTTAACTAAAAATTTAAAAAAATCTTTATTTTTTTCAAAAAATTCAAAATTTTCAAAAAATTTTTTTCACAAAAACAAAACTTATATACGTGTTTCAAAATATACTACCCCTAAAAATATTTGCACTTATTTAAGACTCACCCTATATATCGGTTAAGAATTGTTTTCCCATCGAATAAGTTGGAGTGTTTCTTTCCTGCAAATTTGCCGAATGAATAATTTTATAGTCGATGAATTAGCTATGATTATCTACTGTAGCTCTTAATGCGGAAGAAGAGGACACTTAAAACTGAAAGACGAGGTTGGTACATAAGACTATGGTAAAATTGTAAGTGCGAAAGAGAATTTAGTACTGTTTTACGGAACGAAGATTGTTTCTATATCTTCTTCTTTCAGTGCCTATCCTCTATGGATGTTGGCAATCATGTTGGTCCACATAATCCTATTGACAGCCGCCCTGAATAGATGTACGGTCGTCATTCCCGTCCACTGTCTAATATTTTTCAGCCATGATGTTCGTCGGCGTCCCTGACCTCTTCTACTATCTATTTTGCCCTGCAGTATCAGTTGGATAAGTTGGTATTTATCATTACGCATCACATGCCCAAGGTATGCCATTTTTCTCACTTTCACACTATGTACTATTTCTAGTTCCTTTTGCATTCTCTAGATCACGGTGTTGTTTGTGACATGGTAAGTGTATGAGATCCTGAGCATGCGGCGATAGCACCACATTTCAAAGGCTTCCAAGCGTCTAGATATAACATCTGTCAGGGTCCAAGCTTCCACTCCATATAGGAGCGTGGGGAATACGTAGCACCTTAGGACCTGTGTTCTTATAACAATATTCAAGTGCATATTGCATAGGATTTTTCTAAGACGGTTAAAAACGGTTCTGTCTTTTTCTATACGGCATCTGATCTCTCGTGAGTGATCCCATTCCTTCTTCAAGCTGCAGCCTAAATACATGATTGTATCTGCTGTTTCCAAGGTTTCGTTATTCGCCCTAAACTGTTGGTGCTGCGCCTCATCATTTTTACTAACTACTAGAATTTTGGTCTTCTTGCAGTTAAGCCTCATACCATACATATCACATGCCTCTACTACTCGGTCTATTAATTTCTGCAATCCCTCAGCACTATCTGCTATGAGAACTGTATCGTCCGCGTACCTTAAATTATTGATGGTTTCTCCATTGATCTTTATTCCTTCTTCTATTTCACTGAGCGCTTGTCTAAACAGTATTTCGGAGTTCGTATTAAACAGAATTGGTGACAGTATGCATCCCTGACGCACTCCCCGACTCACTGTAAATTCTTGGGAGGTTTCGTTGTCTACACGCACGGTTGCTCTCTGCTGCAGATACAAATTTGTTATAAGGCGAAAGTCTTTGTCGTCGATACCATATTCCATTAATATTTCAAATAGTTTGTGATGTTGCACCCTATCAAACGCCTTCTCGAAGTCTTACGTCTCTGGCCCTCTGTATCAGGACCTGTATAGAAAATAGGGCTTCTCGCGTTCCCATTCCACTTCCAATCCAAACTGAATTTTGCTCATGTTTTCTTCAAGCTTTCTATATATGCGAGAGTGAATGATGTTAAGTAGGATTTTCAATGCATGGCTCATCAAGCTTATAATTCGGTAGTCAGAGCACCTAGTAGCATTTGCTCTCTTAGGAAGGGGAATAAACGTGGAAACCAGCCAGTCGCTAGGCAATTCTCCTGTTTCGTATATTTTATTGAGTAGCTTTGTCAGAAGTTTAAGTTGGTTGTCTTCCAACAGCTTCAGTATTTCTGCTTGAACGTTGTCTGGTACAGTTGCTTTGTTATTTTTTAGCCGTGTTATTGAGTGCCGTACCTCATCTAGTGTTATTTCTGGACCTGAATCAGCATGGACAATGGTTTCCGCCTGTTGCTCCTCATCAAACAGCTCTCCCATGTATTCTCTCCACCTTTCGAGTATTCCTCCGGTGTCAGTTATAAGACCACCTTGTTTGTCCAATACCAAGTTACTGCTGCGTGAGCTAGTCCTACCTGCCATGGTCTTGATTTTCTTGTGCAGGTTGAAGGTGTCATGTTTTTGTTCCAAGGCTTCAATCTCCCTACATTGGATCTGTAACCATTGTTCCTTTGCTTCTTTGATCTCTTTGTTGATTTTGTTGTTTATTTTCTTGTACGTTCTTTCGTTCTTATTCCTGTGTTTTCGTCGTTCCTCCATAAGATCCAAGATTTCTTCTGTCATCCATTGCTGTTTTTTTGTTCCTTTTTCAGGTTTAAGCATATTATCTGCTACAAGATTGCAGACATTTTTTATTTTGCTCCAGGTATCTTCTACATCCATGTCTTCATAATTTATATCCAGAGATATGCTGTTAATATTGTTATTTAGTTCCTCTTTAACTTCCATTCTTGTGGTGTTGTCCTTTAGCCTCTGGGTGTCTAGGCGTTTTTGAGGATTTCTTTTGCGAGTTTTCTTCAATCGTATCTTGATTTTACTAAGCAGAAGATTATGGTCTGAAAGGATATCCGCTCCTGGATACGTTTTTACGGATTTTACAGAGTTTTGGTATCTCTTGTTAATGATAATAAAATCAATCTGATTCCTATTCATTTTTTGCGGCGAGTCAGCTGGAGATTTCCATGTGTAGAGCCGTCGAGGCGGTAGTTGGAAAAAGGTGTTCATTATCACACTGTCTGTTTCTTGATAAAACTGGATTAGGCGGTCTCCTCTATCATTTCTCATTCCCAGGCCAAAATTTCCCACAACATTGCCAACAGAACCTTTGCCCTTGAAACCTTAGCATTGAAATCCCCTAACGGGATATTGACTTCTTGTTTTTTTGTGTATTTCAAGGCTGTCCGTAGCTGTTCGTAAAATATTTCGATTTCCTGATCAGAGCTTTCTGAGGTTGGAGCGTATGACTGTATAATATTTATATTAAAAGGTTTGACATTAATTTTAAGTAGTGCCACTCTGTTTGATATACCCATAAAATTAATTACACAATTGTTCACTTCTTTGCTGACTATCATAGCTACTCCATTTCTGTTTTGTGTTGTTGTATCTCCACAGTGATATACATCATAGTCATCAATCTTACAGTGACCCGAATTGGGCCATCTAACTTCGCTGCATCCAAGTATATCAATATTAACTCTTTTCATTGTTCATGTTTCTATATACTCCTTAATAATATAGAATCCCACCTAAAAAATAAACAACATACATATTGAAGGAGAAGTATTTTAGTATACAAACATTGATGAGCAAGTATCCGCTATATTGAAATTTGGGTAAATACCCGAGTTTTTGCACCCGGTATATACCCAAAGGGTCAATTGAATTTGGGTAATTACCATTTTACCCGGTATATACCTAATCATACTGACGTTTTTAATTTAAGGTATTCTAACAGTTTTTAAAAACAATTTGTTTTTAAATTAAAATGATTGAATTACTAATATTGCTAATAAAAAATAGGGGTTGATGGTAAAAGGGTGAACAATTAGGGTTGTTTGTATTTTTTAATGCCACATCATAAAAAAATAAAAATAAAAATTTTGCCAAAAAAATGGGGTGGGCAACCCTTATCACTTAGGCGTATAACAAATAGATAACAACCTTTTATCAGACCTAATGAATATACATATAAAATTTTATCAAAATCGATCAAGTCGTTTCGAAGGAGTTTGGTAACAAAAACTATTAAAAACAACCCCTATTAAAAATAGGGGTTGATGGTAGAAAGGTGAAAATTTACGGTTGTATGTATTTTTTAATGCCACATCATAAAAAAATAAAAGTAAAAAATTTTGTCCAAAAGAATTTAAAAAAATGGGGTGGGCCACCACCGTTTATCACTTATGGATATAAAAATAAATAAAAACCTATTCTCAGACCTACTAAATATACATATTAAATTTCATCAAAATCAGTCAAGCCGTTATTAGATTTTGTTATCGAGTATTTCAATTCTTTACTCTAGTTACAAATTGAAATTTAATTTTTTTAAGTTTTTTTCATGGGGTCCAGAGACCTACAGTGAATCGGTTTTACTTTTTTTTTGAAAACCGTTCTAAATAAAAATGTTTCAGTTAAAAAAAGTATTTTTGGTTGCTTAATCTAAAAAACTAAAAATTACAAAAAAAAAGTTATTGGCATACATTTTTTTATCAATTATTTTCGACAGTTTAAATCCAGTTCAGAGCAAATGCTAGCACAAAAGTCAAATATCATCTAAATCGGTTAATAAAAAAATCCCATACAACGTGTATTTTATATGTGACACTGTATGAATGTTATATAGCAGGATTACATTTTGGTGTAAAAGTATGTAAAATCAATGTGTAACAACAATCGCTATATTTTCTATTTTACCACTACATAAATATGCATACGTCTAAATTCGAATACTCTATTATTACCATTTAATGGTAATGACGGAGTTAAAAATAATTCAACTTCATAAACTGATTGAATGTCTTTGTTTGAACATCTTAAAAGTTCAAATACCGAACCCTGAATTAACATAATCAAGGAGGCGATCTTCTTAATCGAAGAGAGTGCTTTAAATAACGATTCGAAAGACAGTAGTAAACATTAATTATATAATTAGAATAAACGGAGCTTCTTTGAGACGGAGTAAAAGTGAATGGAAGACCGATCTGAATGAGAATTACAATTTTAAATTTTGATCCATGTTGAATATTAAACGAATTATTTATGACTTAATTAAATCAATAATTATAATGAGCAGAGTTAAAAGCGTTTTAGTATGACAGACAATGTTTAAAAAGCAGTCATGATTTTGGCGAAAATTTGAAACACCCCGTAGATTAGTTTAACAAATTAAAGAATTTAAATAGCACTTTATCAACAAGGTGCATCGTTTCCGATAATTTGCTTTTTTATTTATCACAATAACTCTTTTTATTAGAGATAAGAAGAAGACAGTAACGAGTAATAACAATCTTAGCATTAAAAGCAAAATATTTCGCTATCGAAAGATGCGTACAATCTTAGATACGTTCCTATCTTAGATAGGAACTATCGAAAACAGGAAATTGTCATCCTATCCGATAGTCAAGCTGCACTAAACGCGGTCAACTCAATAACCATCAATTCGAAGCTGGTCAAAGAATGTCTGGAGAAGCTCAACAAATTAGGCAAAGAAAATAAAGTCAAATGTAAATGATCTAGCTAGAGAAGGAGCGAACACTCCACTAAATGGACCAGAACCGTTCTGTTTTTCAAACGGGAACCAACTGAAAGCGGAATTGAAGAATCTGGAAGACTCCATCCGTAACTTGGAATGGGTGTCCTCCAACGGTCTAAGACACTGGAAAAAGTTCCTCAGAACTTACGACCGAGAGAAATCAAAGGTTTTCCTTGAGTAAAACCATGTTCGGATTGTCACGGTCTTTCTAACAGGACACTGTCTTCTCAACGAACACCTCAGTAGGCTGAAGCTGAGAAACAACGGCGAATGCAGATTCTGTGGGGAAAATGGGTAAACACCAGAACACCTTATCACTGAGTGCGCCGAGACGAGCTGGTCTCTGTGGGGCCGTCTCAGATACTGACTTTTGTTAAAGCCCTGAGACTGTATGATGAGTTATAACTCGTTATAACTCGTTATAACTCAAGAAAGGGGAACACACAATAGATCTGTAAGATCGCGGTGATTAACTCCCCTCCTAAACATTCTACATTCTAGCATTGAAAGCATGCCTTTGCTTTTGGTCCTAATCAACACACCTTTGAAATGGTGTTGATTTGTTTTGTAATGTGTTCCATATTTCTACTGTTTCTTGGCAGTTACTCTAGCAGAGATAATTTCAGTGAGAGTCCAGAAGTTGTATCAGTTATTTTTGTTTTAATTAAACATGGTAGAGATCAGCTTCTGGAATTCCAGAAACCATCTTTGCTAGAGTAATTGCCAACAAACAATAATAATATGTCTGTTGAATGACAGTGACATTATAAAAACATTAACCACTATATCATAGGTGTGCTGATGAGGACTATATGATAGTATAGAGGAAGGCAAAAGTATGATTTTAATGCTAAATTGCTGTGTAAATCGTCATTGTCTTCTTCAAAAGTTCAAAACCATCATTACTCTAATATTTAGATCGCGATATTTCAACTAGTGATGAGAACTGTGGAATCATATAAGGAATCGAATGATTACTCACTGAATGTTTCCAACTATCGAATGATTTTATTCGAGTAAAAGCAGTGGTTGATTACAAGGCACGTGGCGACTTGGTGGGTAAATGTCATTAACGACATATTTCTGCTATATTACCTGTTTGTCAACTGTGTAAGAAACATTGCTAAGTCTAATCCCATCTCCAAAAGGTACTAAACTCCCCATTATGTATTTATTTTGCCTTTTTAGGATGAAAAATATAGTCACCGGTGTCCCATAGACCGAACGTTAGTGGTTATAGGTTAGCCATTAGCTATCGAATATTTCGATAGATTTTATTCGCTAGTTCCCATTACTAATTTCAACGCTAGCGCCGCCGTTCCGGACTGACCCTATTAATCCGCGAGTTATTTTCGCCAATCTAGATTTATTATTCGCGATAAAAAGCGGTTACGCAAAACAGTATCCCGATAATTATCTCGTTCCAATTATTTATTAATTTATTTTCACTTCGAGCGCACAACTTCATAAATCAGCAAGGTCTCGAGCGATTCGAGCCTAGCCGAACGGTTTCCTGTTCGCGATAGTCGCAAAAATCGGTCTAGACCGAAGAACAAGAACGCCGGTTATGGGAGCAGTTGACAAAAACATCCCGCATACCAGTCGTGATGTTTTATTGATAACATATACATTCATTGGACGAGGAAAAATGAAGATATGCACTAAAAATTATACTAACAGTAGACCACTAATTATTATTTATTAATCCAGTACTTTCTACAATTAAAAATTATGTTCTTCAAAAGTTTTTTTACTTTATTTTCGGGTCAAAGTTCGAAAACCAAGACAAAACGTGAGTACAAAATGTGCAAACCGAAAATATCTTTTGGAGTATACTGATGGCTTGGAGGTAATCAAAAAGTCATATATTACAGATTGCTATTTATGCCTCAAAATTATTAAAGGGATTGGACGAAGATCTAAGCATACTATTAAGCGCCATATGATCGAGAAAAAAACGGCGTCAAAGACTGCAATGACAATCAAAGATAACTTTGGCGAGGTCAAATCCTACACGTTATTTACTCTTTTTTATTTTTTAATGGCTCTTACTGCCACTTGTCTTTAAGAAGTTTGTCATTTATTTTTATATTGAATAAAAATGATTTTTAAATGGTGTATCCAGTTTAAAATTCGATTTAAAATAATATTTTTATTAAAGATATGTGTGTCTGGAAACGTTCTACCCTTTTTAATCTTGGTATAATTAGTGTTAGTTTTTGACGTAAATGATGTCTAGAGATTGACCTCTTAAATTATCATCGATTATAATTCCCTAGCCATCTTTGACGCCGTTTTTTTTTCATACATCATACAGTATTTTAACCATCTGGCCCACTAAACATAGTAATGAACTTGGTGCCCCATATTTAGAATTTTGGACCTTGACGAAGAAGAATCTACTAACAATTCAAGTGATGAGAAATCGCAAAGCATATGACAACTGCAAAGGTTCCAGTCGTACATTACTTTATACCAAAAACGGCAGAAAAGATGCATTTAGTAAGAAGGGGATTTATCATATTGATCAAATGTTAACAAATTTGTTTAACATATTAGGACCGAACCGAAACATATCAAAATGATTCAGACGCCAATCATTCATCGATTCTCCTGAACTTAGTTCAAAGGAAGTATTGGTTAACCACAGTAATAAATATCCATCTGTACCCATACTTCATGAAGTTCAATTGAAATAAGAATCATAAGGAAATATGCAAGATTGGTTGATAGACCAGATGTGAAGATTTAAAGGTACCTAATAGGTTCTCCCTGTTTGTACAGGGTGCTCCTTAATGACATGCTAATATTTAAGGGGGTGATTCTTGAACCAATTCTGAGAAAAAAAAAACTTCATATGAATATATGGCCTAAACATCTTAACTTTTCAGATACAGGGTGGTAAATTTTTTTATTTTTTTTTCAAAATATCCCTGAAGTTATATTTGA